TATAATATAATATAAAAATAAAATGTAGTTCACATAATGTAAAAAAAATAAAATTTTTAATATTAAATTAGTTTCATTTCTTTTATATATGGTTAAAAATAATACAACTTGCACACTACAAGTCTACAACATACTTTATAGATAAATCTTAATTTCTATTTAATTAACAACTTCTATAAAAAATTTGGTGGGTTCAAATGGCATTATATATATTTCGGTAGAGTATTCTTCTTTGAATTTGAGAATGAGGTAAGTTTTGGGACCAATTCACGTCTAATAAGTACTGCTGGTTGGGTAGAACTTTAGAAAATTGAGTAATGCAGCAAGGTAGCGTTGATTGGTTCACATATATACTTGTGGAATTAGTCAAGAGGTGGGTAACCTCCACTTCCACCCACTAGGTTTTTGTAAATAAAATTCAACGGAAAGGGATCTTCCACCAATAAATAAAAACCAAATATGAAATCAAAACAAAAGGTGAGATATGTGATTTTAGAATTTGTTTTTAGCATGTTAGATAATGAATTATATGAGAAATATATCACTTTTTTTTTTTAAAGTTTTTTACTTGACTTAAGCTATACGTATGAAAATATTTTTTAAATTTTTTTATGTATTTGTTGAAAAATAAAGGGGAGAGAGATAAAAATCTACCTCAACATGCATCTGCTACCAATTGCACTTCTATATGGTGCAAACAAATTAAATAAATACTAAACTAGTTTTGTTAAGAAGAAAGAAGAAATTTAACTTACTCTAATGAAGTTATCCTTTAACAAAAAGAAAAAATTGACCAATAAAGGGTCCATAGCTCAGTGGTAGAGCATTTGACTGCAGATCAAGAGGTCACCGGTTCGAACCCGGTTGGGCCCTATCTTCAATTCTTTTTACTTAATAGACTCACAATTTGGGCAAAAGCAGCCAATTCCTTATCAGCAAATGCAACTAAGCTTAGAAACAAGGTGGGCAATGAAACCTACAAAATCTATTCTCATTGCATTTCCCTCTTACCTCCTCCCAGCACCTTACACCTTCCGCCTTTATGTTTTTGACAAGTCTTTATCCTCCTCATCCTTCACAAGCTATACTTTCTCCGGTTTCACCCCCACCGCCCCCAGCGACATTCCCAGCTGACCCACTTCGTTCAGCTCAACCACCTCCTCCACGGCCCCCAAATCCCTCCTCTTCAAAAGTAAAATATATACACATAAAATACTTCTTTTTTTTTTTGGTTATTTTCCTTAAGAAAAAGCTATTAAGTAGTTTGAAATGCTATTTTAAAAAATTCCACCTAGAGGGGAAAAAAAACAATAATAATAAAGGACAGACGTCCCATATATTGGCCCTTTGGCTTCGGGATGCACGAATGTTGGGGTTGAGTTTTTGGGCCTTGCTCCTATTTAATTCTCATCTTACTAATAAGAATTTAGTTAAATTAATATTTAATAAAATAAAATTTGATTTAAAATTTTTTTTATGATAACCCCAATATTCAGTAATTACATTAAAAAATTCTTCTAACACTTATTTTTTCATTCATAAAATTCTTTATAAAATTCGAACTTAAACTCAAAATTTTCTTAAGAGAATCGAGTTTCTGTTTTTCAAATTAATAACTCATTAATATTTTGATATAGAATTAGATAGATATTAAATCTATTATAATAATATATCAAACAAATATATAATCCTCCGTTAAAAATAAAATTAAAATCACTAACCATTGATTAACCCTAAACTACAGTAAACCAACCATAAAGTAAAGGTTAAATCTCTATTTTGGTCCTTCAACTATTTTACAAACCCTTGATTTAGTCCCTCAACTCAAAAAATCCCTGATTTGGTCCCTCCATTAAAAATCCACTTACGTGTCCTATTAACTAGCAGAAGCACAATGACATGTCAACATATTAAATACATGCAAGAAGATAGCATGGCAAAAAAAATACTTAAATAATTCTCTTTCTTCCTCTTTCTCTTTCTTCTTCCTTGCCTTCTACAAACCCTAAAGATGAAACCTACAATTACCCCCCAATGAAACTTGCAATTTCATCCTTTCATTTTTTTTTCTTTGTCTATCCCTCACTCAACACCAGATCTAGACATTTTCCCTTCCAATTTCTCTCTTTTGTTGGGTTTGAAAGTTGGGTTCAAAGGAACCTAACACAACTAGGTTCTTTGGAACCTAGCATAGCTAGGTTCTTTCGAACCCAATAGCTGCTAGGTCAATTGAACCCAGCAACTGCTTCTTCTTCCTCTTTTTTTCTTTTCACCTTCTGCAAACCCAGACACTTTATAACATCAAATCCAAGTATAACACAAACATAAATCTAGAATCTCCCTAAAATAGTCACTACCTTCTCAGCCTTCCAAAAAACCTAGAAAAATCAAAGTATCTTCAATTAAACCCAACAACAGTTCTTTAATCGAACCTAGCATTCTTCAATCAAACCCAGCATTCTTCAATCAAACCAATCAAGGGTTCTTCAATCGAACCCAACAGTGCCTGTTAGGTTCGATTGATGAACCTAGCGAACCCAACAACGCCGTTGGGTTCATCAATCGAACCAAGCAATGTTGCTGGGTTCCTGCTAAGTTTAATCGATAAACCCAGCAGGCTCTTCTGGGTTCGATCATCCCAACATGAACCCAACAGGTGCTGTTGGGTTCATCAATCGAACCCAATAGGCATCAATCAAACCCAAGGCCCCTAAGGCCAATGAACAAGGATCTGGGGGAAGAAGATGAATGCTAGAGATGAAAATGAAGGGGTAACGAAAGGAAAATGGAAAGAAATTGATGTGTGGTTGAAGATGAGAGTAAAAAAGTAATTTTAGTTTTCCAATTAATTTTAAAAATTTTAATTTTTACTGAAAATTACATGTTAAGTTTTATATGCCATGCTGTCAATCCTACATGTCAATCCTACATGTCAAAATATTTTTACATGATACCATTTTTCGTCAACTAACAGGACACGTAAGTGGATTTTTAACGGAAAAACCAAATCGGAGTAAAAATAGTAAATAGTAGGGATCAAATCAAGGATTTTTTGAGTTGAGGGACTAAATCCAGGGTTCGTACAATAGTTGAAGGACCAAAATAAGGGTTTAACCTAAAGTAAATATCAATAGATTGGAGGTCTTGTGTTAACGTTGGAGAGTAAAAACGACTGCAAAGAATTAAAAA